TGGCGAATAAAGTAGATATGATGGTGTTGATTATTACGTCGCCTCTCTAAAGATTGGACCCTTGTTTTCTGAAAGGCATTATTAAATTATTAAATAAAGAAGTGACCACACCTAGCCTATGGCTATATAAGCCATGTACCGGCGGTTATTCCTCGCGAGGTGTAAGTTATCGATTAAAGCTGTCTGTCCATTGTTGATTATAAAAAAATATGTGTTGTTTTATGTCCGTCCATTGTTATTATACAACAATTCACATTTGTTTTTATATGTCTGTCCATTGTTATTATAGAGACCTGCCATTATTTTTCGCAGGTGAATGATTAATCCTGTTTTAGTCTTAAAGTACGAGACTGTTTTGCACCAAAGTTCTATAGTCGGCAAAGAATAATGACACTAGCCTGCGTGCAGGCGTTCCTCGTTGGGCTATTAATGCACGCAGGCTATAATGACACCGGTTTTCTTTTAAATTCAAGGTGATTGTTACACAGTATTACCTTGATACGACTATAACATGACAGTCACTAAGGCAAGATATAAATCACTCAGTCTCGTACCCAGGACCACTGGTCCTCTTACTGCGCAAGCTCGACGAAAAACATTGGCTCTGGAGTACACGAAAAATTCTCGCTCTCTGATTGGCTCATAAAATATAAACACACTTGCCGCCGGAAGTGAAAATATCACCGAGAAAAAGACTCAAATCATTCTGTATTTCCCTACTTTATCTTGAATTCTTCCTTTAAAAGCATTTATTAAGTCTATGAAGTGGACATTTGAGAGAAATATGATCAATTAAGTATAAAATGGAATACAGCGAGACGACGAACTGTCACGCCATGATAATCGCTAACCGTCACTGTCGCAGGTTACGATCTGATGATAATAGATATCAAAATAGAAGATAGATTGATTATCTAAGTTCTAAAAAATTCCTTTTCTGACTTCTGAGTTTGAAAATAATCTGGAAATTTTAAAGGAAGCAGCGATTCAAAGTCACCGATTTTGCTGAGAATATGATCTGTTGGTCAATTTGCATGACGATTTTCACGAGGATAGAATATGAATGTAACTAAATTGACTCTTCACAAAAATAATAATTGCAATAAATGTTTTCCCTTCCGCAGGTTTTTTATTTGAATTAAATTATAAAAATACAAAAAAGAAAAAAGAAAAACGTAAACCAACCTGTGACAGCTGTCTGTAGCGTAGGYKACCCTGACGTAAATTTGAATGTAGCCCCTAAGCTMCCCAGTAATRCCAATTATATTATTATTTAAGTTTTCCCTGTGYGATATCAAGCATATTAGTTCAAAACAGTAGAGAAAACGTCGCCATGAATGCAAGAGTTTGCACTTYAGACTCTCAGGACCACAATGCTTTGCGAGTTTTCATTCTCGTGTTTTTAGTCCTTTTGGAGACTAAAAATTGACTTGATATTACATTTCGATGTTTTGCTTCATATTGTTGACATATATAATCTAATAAGTTATTGGTACACCAATTAAACTAGATAACAGTGGTCATTTCAAYTGAAACTGTACAATATCTTGTCTTCATGACGGCCAAGAGCTAATATTATTGTAATAACGTGCTCGATGTGTGTTCACTTGTTTTTTACGTATTTTTAATCGATTGAAAGTGGAGACCTCTAGTTTAACGAACAAAAACATTACTTATTTCAATAGGATTTTAAAGCATTGTTTCGATTGCATTCATATATTAATTACTGTAAAATCTACTCTCATCTGAAGAGACAAGTCTATAGTCGGTTACTTAATAGAGAGTAGTTCTTGAAAGAACTCAGTTGTGTTGAGTGTAATGATAGATTATTAGAAACACTGCACAAATAAGCACGCTATGAATAAGTCATTGCAAAAAAAAAGAAAGCGAAAAACAAATAGAAAGAGAACTGATGAAAGAAGAGACGAGCAATGAAACTTACCTTTTCTTCTTGGTAGGCCTTGCAATTATAGGCGTCTGATGGCGATCGAGATCCTGTTTTGAATGCCACGGATGAACACTTTTACGCTTTAACTTATCAATTCATTTCAATATTTTAATTCCATTGAATTAATTAAAATGTGAAAGTGTTATTTATGTACCGYGACATATTGCCTAGATACAAAAATATAACGTATTTATAATTTGTTAAACACTGTAATTCAATCAACAATATATTGTTATTTGAAGAAATTATACTATGAGTCAAACTTGAGTGACAGCCTCAGACAGTCTTAACGAAAAGACAAATTACACAAGAATAAAATAATAATATAATGACAAATATGTCATAAAATAGAGCGAGACGTCCGAAATAGCCGTACTTTAATCGCAAAAAGCTCGATAAAGCTAATTGTATCTCATATAACTGGTTTATAACGAGTTTACATCTCAGTTTTCAATTAAGCAGCAAACAAAAAGCAAAACAATAAACAAAAAAAGTCGAATTAGACTAACTTAAAATTTGACTGTCAGTCAGTCTTGATATGGTGAGCGAGCTAATGCAAAATCGGTGTTAAAAAGCATCGAGTCGTTAAATGTGTTGTTCTTTTGCCACATGCAATCCAAGGTCATAATTTTAATCAAATTTTAATTTGAAGAATGTTTGCATGAAGTCATCCTATGACGTCATTATCTAACGTCACTGGAACATAAAAAGCTGTATAGTTTTTTTAGAGCCGCATGCAGGCGCTTTTCTTCATCGTCTGTACCCTTATCAGGGGCGGATTTAGGGGGGGCCGAGGGGGCCGCGGCCCCCCCTTTACCGATGAAAATGCTGGAAATCGCATCTCTGACGGTCTCAAATTTCAAAATTTCCCGGCGCTCAATTGGACACAAGACACATCCGGCCCCCTCTTTTCAAAAATCCTAAATCCGCCCCTGCTTATTGACAATGAAAATGACGCTAAAAAAGTGGCAGAATGTTTCTCTTGATTAGTTTTGATCATTTCTGACGTAGTTCTATGTTTGATCATAAACTATATAGTTTGTAGAGGAAATGGTTAGGAAGCCTTTTAATTTGTTGGAGGCGGTTTTTGTGCATTTGTTACAAATGACAGGTACAATCTTTTGTGTAACTATTGTTTTAGCCATACTGGTCACATCTAAATGTACAGAGTGAAAATCATTATTTTGCCTGTTTTTGCCTATGCACAAACATTTTAACCAAAATTCGAAGATTTGAGGGGTTTTTTTCATGCAATATTCTACAAGACATTCAGCCTTCAAAGGTTTTTTTTAATTATTTATTGTTTCAAAAAGAAAATCATTTACAATTTTTGATACTAATTAAACAATTTACAACTTTGATTAGCACAAAATAGATGTGGTACTCTAGATTTTTTTAGCGTTCAAAGATGCTTAGTGTCACAAAAGCGCTAATCAGCTCATATAATTTCTATAAAACCGTTTGACGAAAAGACTATTTCTTTTCATAGTCGGAGAAGCTTATGAAGTTCAATCTACTCATATGATCATATGCGTTTGTTGAAATTAAAAACACGCTGTATCTAAACCTAAATTTTTAATCAGATTAAATGGACAACATTTATTCAGTGGTGCAGCCCAGGCCTAAGCATGGAAGGTACGTGTTATGTAGTAACTATTCTCAGCAAAGAGTCAACGCACCTGTACCGTGAAACATAATTAAAGAAATAGCAAATAATAGTTTTATTTTCTGGACTAATTGTATCTAATACAGTAATTATTACTCTCTTATTAGAACCTGCAATTTAAGAACCTGTTAGCCTAAAAATATCAAAATAGACTCCATTTAAACATAAGAACCTATTATATTTCAAAAAGGCCTCTTATAGATAGGTTCTTATAGAAATTAATTACCCAAAGAATTCTTCATCTCAAACTGTAGTGAACTTGAACGTGCATGTATACACTTCTAAATTTGGTATAAAAAATATTTCAAAACCTTGTAAATTTTCATTACATAAGGGATAAATAAGAACCTACTAAAAACCTATTTAGCCTGCAATTCCACTAGGCACTATTTACATAAGAACCCGTTTAGGCTAAATCTGCATAAATGAGTTCTTATAAGCGGGTAAGTACTGTAGCAGATATCACTGAATCAATTCATGAAAGCAAAACTTAATATCCTTATATTCTTATTTCACTAAATGCTCTACTGAAGTATAGAATATGCTATATTTCATTGTTTACAAGGAAATTAAACAGACTAATTTTATATTTAGAAAAATTAAAGGACCTATACTTTGAAATGTAAGGCTGAGGGTTTTTATGTGAAGGATGCTTGAAACTAAAATTTCGGTCTGACAGGTTTTACTGTATTCTAACCTTATTTCAAATCCTGAAATCAAGCAGCTGAAACCCTACTATTTGCATTGCATGTGGTACAGTGTCCAAAGAAACCTTTACTCCTTGTTTATTCACTAGCATCACCTTTTCTCATTTCGATGCATTGGAGTTCTCCATCCTTGACGTACTTTCTCACTTTATCGTAATTCAGTGCAGAGTCGCCCTCTTTTCGATCTTCAAGGTGCTCCCCTACGACTATCGTTTCTACACCACTTAGTTTAACCAAAGGTGCACATTCATTGCAAGGGCATTTCGTGACAAAGAGGATTCCATCTTTCAAGTCCTTTTCATTTCTCACCATCAAAGCATTTTGTTCGGCGTGGATTACAAAAGGGTACTTTTTTTCTCTTGTACTGGTATCCGAGGTATCTTTATCCGAGGTATCTTTATCCGAGGTATCTTTATCCGAGGCATCTTTATCCGAGGCGCGTGGGAATTCTGCATACAAAGCTTTCGATGGAAATCCATTCCATCCCAAACCCACGATTTCCTTCTTTAATTTGTCCATAAGAATTGCCCCAACTCCTGTTTTTGGGTCATCTGTCTGGCGAGCAAGCATCTTGGCAAAGACCATCATGTGCTTAGCTACGTCTCCGCCGGGAAACTCGGTCACTTCTGCATTATGAATTACTCCCAAATCATCACCTTTAAAGTCGACGTTGTAAAATTTCATTTCTGCTTTATAAACTGGTGTCTTGATTGAAGCGATCCATTTCATGAGTAAATCGAAATCCCCTTCAATTTGTTGTTTCATGTTTTCGTCAAGAGGGTCAAGAGTGACACTGTCTTTATCCCACCATTTATTGAAAATTTCTTTTTGGCAGGAGTTAATAAAATCGGCGTCTTCCAGACTCTCCCTTTCCATTATCTTATCTAATAAACTCTCACCAACATGGGGAACAAACATAGACTGTGCAACAGGGCTGGCATTGAAGAGACGATCGACATTTGCCAGGTCCTCCTCTTTTTCTGGCATAATTGGTAAGTAGAAGACTCTTAAAACTCTCGCTTGTACAAGAAGTTTGGCACAGATAGAACACGGTTTTCGAGAGACGAAAACTTTGCAGCCTTCAACTCTATCTGCGCAGTGTTTGACGATCACTCGAGCAATTCCATGGACGCCATCACGACTGCAGTCGACGCTTAAAACTCGATCGTTTGGTAGAACAAACACAACTCCTACACCTTTGCAGCCATCATCTTCTTCTTGAAAATATGGAAATTCCTCCATCCAAAGAGCCAATGCCATGTAAAGATTGTCTTTAGAAAGTCTCGTCACACGTTCTTTATATTTATAAGACATGATTATCTTTTCGACTGATTTCGTTGGCGAATAAAGTAGATATGATGGTGTTGATTATTACGTCGCCTCTCTAAAGATTGGACCCTTGTTTTCTGAAAGGCATTATTAAATTATTAAATAAAGAAATGACCACACCTAGCCTAAGGCTATAAGCCATGTACCGGCGGTTATTCCTCGCGAGGTGTAAGTTATCGATTAAAGCTGTCTGTCCATTGTTGATTATAAAAAAATATGTGTTGTTTTATGTCCGTCCATTGTTATTATACAACAATTCACATTTGTTTTTATATGTCTGTCCATTGTTATTATAGAGACCTGCCATTATTTTTCGCAGGTGAATGATTAATCCTGTTTTAGTCTTAAAGTACGAGACTGTTTTGCACCAAAGTTCTATAGTCGGCAAAGAATAATGACACTAGCCTGCGTGCAGGCGTTCCTCGTTGGGCTATTAATGCACGCAGGCTATAATGACACCGGTTTTCTTTTAAATTCAAGGTGATTGTTACACAGTATTACCTTGATACGACTATAACATGACAGTCACTAAGGCAAGATATAAATCACTCAGTCTCGTACCCAGGACCACTGGTCCTCTTACTGCGCAAGCTCGACGAAAAACATTGGCTCTGGAGTACACGAAAAATTCTCGCTCTCTGATTGGCTCATAAAATATAAACACACTTGCCGCCGGAAGTGAAAATATCACCGAGAAAAAGACTCAAATCATTCTGTATTTCCCTACTTTATCTTGAATTCTTCCTTTAAAAGCATTTATTAAGTCTATGAAGTGGACATTTGAGAGAAATATGATCAATTAAGTATAAAATGGAATACAGCGAGACGACGAACTGTCACGCCATGATAATCGCTAACCGTCACTGTCGCAGGTTACGATCTGATGATAATAGATATCAAAATAGAAGATAGATTGATTATCTAAGTTCTAAAAAATTCCTTTTCTGACTTCGAAAGCTTTCATTTAACCAATTGTCTTGAGTAAAATCAGTCAAATAAAGCCGTTAGGTCGGGTTTCTACTGCGCATGTGTGAAATAAGCCGTTAGATCGGGTTAGATCAATCTCGTACCCAGCGCCACTGTCCCTGTTACTCGCAGGCTCGCAACGAAGAACAGGGGCTCTGGAAATATCAAACAACGGAAGCCAGAATCAGGCTATTTCACCCATGCGCAGTAGAAACCCGATCTAACGGCTTTATTTTACTGATTTTACTCAAGAAAATAGGCTAAATGAAAGCCTTCGAAGTCAGAAAAGGGATTTTTTAGACCTTAGATGATAAATCTATCTTCTTCGAAGCTATTTTGATATCTATTATGATTAGATCGGAGCAGACAGTGACGGTTAGTGATTATCATGGCGTGACAGTTCGTCGCCTCGCTGTATTCCATTTTATACTTAATTGATCTTATTACTCTCAAATTCCCACTTCATAAACTTAAAAAATGCTTTTAAAGGAAGAATTGAAGGTGAGGTAGCGAAATACAGAATGATTTGAGTGTTTTTCTCGGTGATATTTTCACTTCCGGCGGCAAGTTGTTTATTTTATGAGCCAATCATAGAGCGAGAAATTTCGAAAATTCCAGAGCCTCTGTTTTTCGTCGAGCATGTTAGCCTGCGAGTAAGAGGGACAGTGGTTCTGGGTACGAGATTGGGGTTAGATCCCTTAGATCGGGCTCTGGGTACGAGATTGTAAATCACTTAAAAAGCCAAGTATAATTTCACTTCTAAGCACTGAATAATTCGAAAGTGCTAATTCATCAAGAAAAAAATTAACTAGCAGTTCAACTTCATTAGACAAACATTATAAAAGTTTTGCTCAGTTTTTCATTCGACACTTTTACTTTAAAATTAAGTCTGAAATGGTTTTTATGTAAAGAATGCTTGAAATTAAAATTGTAGTCTGACAGGTTTTACTGTATTCTAACCTTACTGACCTACCACACCCATTTTCTATTGTTTTCAATCGGTTTTGGTATTTTAGGTAAAACCTGCATTCTAAAASCTRGGGGCGGCATTGATTATCATCAGGGGAGATTGGGGCTGACTAAAGCTTGAACCAGGTCTTGAAAATAAAAATCAACACCTGAAACAAGTCTTGAAATCGATTTTCAAAACCTGGTACCAATAATCAAGTAAGTGATTTATTTAATATTCTGCCTAATCCTGAAAAATCAGACGAGTTAGATCCAGATATGATGCTGATCACTCCCACCTCAGACTATCACACAGCATCAGATTTAATTTTATTCGACAAGCAACCGCCAAGAATCTATTCATGTTCCACTGCAATATTAGGAGTCTTCCAAAAAATTTACATCTACTTGAGGATATCCTTGCTACATTAAACACCAAACCTAATATTATAGCAATATCAGAGGCAAGACTCAAATCTAACACAGTTGATAATGTCGACCTCCCTGGATATGATTTATTTCATGATGACTCACCCACTTCAGCAGGTGGTACAGCCATATATATATCTTCAAAACTCAAAGCTATACCTAGACCAGATCTCAAATTAAAACTTGATTTAGTTGAAAGCACTTGGGTTGAAATCCCAAATCCCAAAACAATGAAAAACACTGTCATTGGTTGTCTGTACAGACACCCACCATCAAATCTGATTAATTTCAACAATGAACTGCAAAGAATTCTGCAGTTATTAAACAGAGGTAACCCAAATGTATACATTCTTGGTGATGTCAACATTACACTAATAATTATCTGTCAACCACCATGTCGGGTATGGCTACTATGAATATCACAGATCACTACCAGTTTTTTGTATATCCTCTGACCGAGTAGAGCAAAAAAACAAAAACCACTATTTTAGAGATTATAATGCGTGTGATGTTAATAATTATATAAGCGAAGTAGCCTCCATTGATTGGAAAGATACTTTTTCTAAATGTGAGTCTATTGATGACAAAATGGAGCAATTAATAAATCAACTCCAACTTATTGTTGATAAACATGTTCCTATAAAAAAAAGTTCCTAAAAGCAAACTAAAGTAATTTACTCTAAAACCTTGGATCACTAATGGTATCCTAAGGTCTATTAACCACAAGCAAAAGATGTATAAAACCCATTACCTAAGCAGAAACCCCATTAAAATAGACGAATATAAAAAATACTGTAACTTTCTAAACAAATTGAAAAAGACCAGTAAACTCGCAGTACTACCAAAAGCAGTTTGAACTAAGTAAAACTAATCTAAAGCACACGACTGGTATATAATCAAATTTCTTCTTTTATCAATAAGCATAATATACTGAATGATTATCAATTTGGATTTCGGAAAAATTATTCAACTGAACATGCAATTCTTRAATTGTCTGACCAACTAAAAGCCAATATTGACAATGGCCTGATTACTTGTGGTATATTTCTAGTCTCCGAAAAGCTTTTGATACTGTCAAGAAAGCTATGGAATGGTTTAGTAACTATCTCCACAACCGTTTACAATATGTCACTATTGAACGCTAAATCTGTGAAACAAAACTTTCGAATAGTGCAATCAACTCAAAGAAAACAGTACAGTTATCGACTATTCATTATGCCATTGTTGATATAATATGTCATAATAGCTAAATGACCTCGTTCTGCTGTTTTAACTTTAAACACGTGAAATGCGTTTCTTAAGGTAAATAATTAATTTTCCCTTTGTTACACAAACTTATCAATAGAAAATTTGAGCAATGAAAAGGGAAGAAGAATATATACTAGTACATTTAACACACTAATGAATTAGTTTTTGTTGGTCGTAAAAATAACAAAACGGATTGTTGTAGCTTAGTATTGAAGAGATTTACTACAAATTGTTATAAAGGGACTTGAAATATATTTATTTCGCTGGTTAGCGAGTAAATACTTTCGATTTACTACAAACCTTTACGAGTCTGGGTTACTTTATACATACCTTTTTTCGTCGATTTTCTTATATGTTTTCATCCTCGGGAACCCAGGGATAGTCTTCTGTCGTTCGTTCCTCACTCCCAGAAAAAATACCCCTGGGCACGAAGTCTGTTAGACCTTGYTCTCGATTCGAAATTCAAAATGGCGGCCGGTAAGTTAATCAACCAATCAGAATGTTCGAGTGAATCACTCGACCAATCAGAAGTTTACCGGCCGCCATTTTGAATTTCGAATCGAGAACAAGGTCTAACAGACTTCGTGCCCAGGGGTATTTTTTCTGGGAGTGAGGAACGAACGACAGAAGATAACCACTGGGTTCCCGAGGATGATATGTTTTGCTTTAATAAGATAAGGCTCCACTTTAAAACAATCTTAAAATGAAAGCTCTTCTCCATGTTCATATTTCTTTGTTCTTTCAAGACAAAACACCGTTCCAATATATTCAAAACACGTTGTATAGACTCAAAAAGTCTCGTCAGTCAAGGCTTGTTATTCAAAGCGAGCATGGGAATGGATTTTAGGACATAATTTTTTCCGTTTTTTGGTCAAAAACCATTCATGAAAGCGCTCGCTGTCAAATGTGTGTTGTATGGTGATGTATTGATAAAAAAAAAGCGATAAATGATCCTTGAACGCTCTGAAACAGGTAGAACTTGACCGGTATGGCAACCAGACGAAACGATCACACTTAAATCCAAAAATGAAACAGGAATTTATCTGTATATAAATTTAAATTTCAAATGCAAAAACTAGTAATATAACTTTGAAGGTTAAATGTGCCATAACTGCAAGGTTTCTTAACGTCGTAAACGAGATTGTAACAGATTTGTTAAAACTTTAATGAGTTCGAAAGACACATTGTAGCTGGTAAACCATCACCCGTGGAAGATAATGGTTCATACCGGTAGGTTAGTTGGATTGTATAGACCTAATTATACAATGCGATTTTGTTTCACAGTAGACAGATAGCAATATTATATTTAAATAACACGAAACTGAGCTTAAAAGAAATGTCTTCGATTTACGTAGTGTTTGATTGGTTGAGGGTTCAACAATATCGGCAACGAGTCAAGACTGGTGCATTGCTGGCGTTCGACAAAAATCGCATTGCAGCAGCCGTTCAAACCCAACCGTCCAAATAGTTCTTTTTCTAATATTTTCTAAAGCTTTTAAGCTTTAAGATTTAAAATTTAAATTTAAATTTTAAATTCAAAATTTGCAAAGAGTTTTTTTCTCTTTCAGAGGAAGACATTGGCAAACACCGCTGCCCAAAAAATTTGAAGGGCGCATGAAGTTAGAGTTTAATTAGTTTATTTTACTCATTTATTTTCAATTGTCGCATGTTTTAACAAGAAATTTTCTTCATTAACCTCTCTTTGCTGCTAATTTTTAAGAACAATTTAATATGTCACTATTGATACCTATAAATCAAATAGGTTGCAAACTACATGTGGAATTCCACAAGGCTCCACTCTTGGACCCCTT